TTTGTGAACCTGAAGCCTCCGTTTCTGGTGACACCTGAAGCAGACCCCCCCCCACCCCCCCGACACCTGGGGAGGCCGTGGCCCCCCAGCAGCCGCCCGGGGCCGCGGGGAGCCGGGCAGCAGGCCGGGGAAGCCTTACCTGCAAAGATCATCCAAAACGCTGGAGGGGATCTCTATTCTTTTGGTTTCGGTGTTGGCTGGAAACATGTCGACTCTCTCCCCGGGACTCGGGTCCTAAAGCCGCACAGCGCCGCGGCTCACTGCCGCATTCTGCCCTCCACTAACACCCAAAAAAGTCACCGAGCTTCTGGGAACGATTATCTCTTCGTATTCTCCCATCAGAAACTTTGAGAAGTAGCCGTTCCTGGCGGTGAGCGCATGCGCACACGAACCGCATGCGCAGTAGAGACCCTCACAGGTAAACAAAGCCTAGCGATTTCATTGTCTGTTAATACGCATGCGCACAACATCCGCATGCGCAGTAGCGACCCACACAAGTAAACCCGTTCATTGGCTGCTAATGGGCATGCGCAGTAGTGACCCTCACAAGTAAACAAAGCCTGGAGGTTTCATGGTCTGTTAATACTTGTAGTAACCCTTTCATGTTATCTCCTAAATAAAAATTATTTTCCATTTATATCCACCAATTCTCATTAACTTCGTCTCTTTATCTAAAATGGAAATTCGGCATGATATGAAATAATATTCCGCTACTGGGTGTGGGTTTTTTACATATTGCTAGCTGTTAGCGTATTGCTAGCTGATGGCGAAGCGCAAACACCACAACACATTTCTAAACTGAAGTTAGCCCCCATCTTTACTGTCCGTGTTTGGTAACAGAGCTGAAGTAATACGTCAGGTTAAAATTAAGCTAGTTGAGACATTGTCCTGCATTTTGTACTTCCTGTATATTTCCTCCCGTACTGATCCTGCGTGGCTGTGGAGCCGCCTGCTGCTCAGGAGGGTAACTGCAACCAGGCCAAATCTGAGCCGCCTGTCTTTTGACAATCCACTTTGTTTTGGGTTTTGAACACACAGTGACGTTTTCCTTCCTTGTTCATGTAAGTTAATTTGTATTCATGATGAAACCAGTGATGGCAGTGTGAAAATAGTCTGGAAAATGTCACACAAGCGAACAACTATGCAGAAATGCTCATATTAAAAAAGATTTTCAATGTCACTGTCACATGTTAAACAAAAAAAAACTAAAACTAAAAATGTTAAGCTGTGATGGAAAGAGAAAATAACACCTTGAAAAAGGCTGATTCCTTCAGATTTCTTTTCATCTGTCACTAGATGTTAGTCATCAAGACAAATGATGGGTACCAGCCCATAATAGAGAAAAGCATTGCAGGAATCAGATCAATGATGAAATTCTTAACCCTGGGAAGAAAAACCACAAGGCCTTCAATAGACTTAATGATCTTAAAGAAACAGACAGAGGACTTTACAGGACATCTCAATAACATTTAATGTAATGCATTAACTTTGGAAAATTCTTACAACCACATTTAGGAAAAGTAGCATTGCATACATAGGATTTGTTATGCTGCTGGTATCGGTCTTCTTTCTCCATCTCCTCTTCATTAGATGATGTTAAACCGTGGACTTAAAGGTCACACACAGCTCAGTAACACTGGAATGAAAACTTCTGGAGGAAATGTGTATTCATTCACACAGCTGGGATATCACATTAGATAGAAATAACCTGCTTTCTGAATGTACACCACCACCACCAGCCCTTATAAGAGATTTAAAATGCATCCAGAACAGTTCACTCCTTTTACAACCCAAAGGAACCTGTGTAAATCCAAGTGATAATAGTATGTAAAGGCAAATAACAGCATTATAGAGGAAATTCATGTTTTCTTTTCAGAAATAGGTGTGATTGGTATTGGATCTTCAGGATGATTGAAGCCTGATGTCTCAGTGTCACTTCTTTTGTCACACCTTTCACTTTTCTTTCTGTGCCTTTAAAAATACTTCCTAAAACCTTTAATTTCCCCTAAAACAAAACTTTATCCATTCATTGCTCTTTGGTCAGTGTCATATCCTTAATAGAGTGCTGTGTCAGTCGTTTTGGGGGTACACATCCTTACTTTAACAAACGTGTTCTCTAAAATTCAGTACAATAAAAATAAATCTGGACAAAACTTAAACCTTAACTAAATACGTTTACTTCAGTGATGATCAATATTTACACGTCGAAATGATGTTTTAGAAAGAAAACCATTCTCAAGAAACCCGGATAGCTGCTTTACAAGAATTAGCTCCCAACCTTTTTCTTTGGTCCCCTCAGCGGCAACCAAAACCCCCAAAAGAGACTGATCATGACAGAAAACATTTAAAACAAACAACCTATTTAAAACTGAAATAACACAGTCCAGTCCTGGGGGGGTCACATACTGTCCACCCCCCGGATCCGCCTGGCCAGCTGGATGTCCCGAGGGAACACAGTCACCCTCTTGGCATGGATGGCACACAGGTTGGCATCTGAGAAGAGCAGGACCAGAAAGGCCTCTGCAGCCTGCAACAGAGAGGAGCCTCCATCAGGACCACGGGAGGTCACCAACCCAGAACCCTCTGGTCCTGGTTCACCAACCCAGAACCCGGACCTTTCTCCAGTTTTGACATATTCTAGGATTAAGCTCATTTTCTGGATTTGGGAGGAGTGCTCACCTCCTGCATGGCCATCAGAGCGTACACTTGCCATCGGAGAGACTCTCTGGAAAAGTTTTCGCAAACCTCACGAACCTGAGAGAAGAACAAATGTAAATGTACCTTGTTATTGGGCATTCAGTACTAAGATCCTCAGATAATCCACAGGTTGATATCTTCCTGTTTCTACTGTAAACATCTGGTTCCTGGTTGGTGGGACAGGTGTTGTGAATGAAACGGGGCCCAGCTTGAAAGAGCTCCTGTGTGATAGATAGATAGATAGATAGATAGATAGATAGATAGATAGATAGAT